GATGGGATCATGGCACTGGCATCTCATTACAAAGACTACCAACACAGCAAGAAAATCCACCGTTGCTGCTACACATCCATACCCTTTGCCTCAAGCCGTCCTCCATAGATCTTACTCTGGAGCGCTATCATTGATCATCGAATCAAGCCCAATCGCGCAACCTCATCGCAGCCGCAACACCATCAGATCAAGGCCACAAGCCCCCAAAGCAGCCCGCCATCGGCAGCAGCTGCAATGGCCGGCCCCTTGAGGCCGGATTATACGTCTCCAACGTATCTATAATTTATGAAGTATTCATGCCATGTTTACAACAAATTTGTATGGTTTTGGTATGATATGGATGGAACTAATTCGGACTTACGCTGTTTTTAGCAGAACTACCGTGGTGTTGTTTTTTGTGCAGAAATAAAAGTTCTCCAAATGCAACGAAACTTTTTGACAATTTTTGTTGGAACAAAAGAGGCACTAAAAGCTTCATGGGAGGACCAGAAGGTGAAGGAGGAGAGCACAAGACACCTGGGCGCGCCAGGTGGCCCAGGCGCGCCCAGGTGGGTTGTGCTCACCTCGAGGCCCCCCTTCGTGTAATTGAAACGCTGAAAAATCCTATAGTTAGAGAAACCATCAGAAATAAACCTAGATTAGAAGTTCCTCCGCCGCAAGCCTCTGTAGCCACAAAAAAACCAATCTAGACCCCGTTCCGGCACCTTGCCGGAGCGGAAAATCATCACCGATGGCCATGTTCAACATCCCGGCGGCCACCATGATGAGGAGGGAATAGTCCACCCTCGAGGCTGAGGGTTTGTACCAGTAGCTATGTGTTTACTCTCTTTCTCTCTCTCACTCGTGTTCTTGATGGCACGATCTTGATGTATGGTGGGCTTTGTTAATATAGTTGTATTATATGGTGTTTATCCCTCTCTATCTTGTTGTGATGAATTGAGTTTTTCCATTGAGATTTCGTTTTATTGGATTGAATATTTTTGTGGATTTGAGAGCACTTGATATATGTCTTGCATATGAATACCCGTGGTGACAATGGGGTATTATTTTGATTCACATGATATATGTTTTGGCACTCAACTCGCGGATTCTCGAGGTGACATTGGGGTAATCTATGCATAGGGGTTGATGCATGTTTTCGTTCTTGTTTCTCCTGTAGAAATCTTGGGGAACTCTTTGAGGTCCTTTGTGTTGGATCAAGTATTATGAATCTGAAATTGTTTGATGTGTATCGTATAATTAACTCATGGATACTTGTGGTGACATTGGAGTATCTAGGTGACATTAGAGTTGGTTGATGCGTATCATATGGTGTTATTTTAGTACGAACTCTTGGATAGATCGAACGGAAAGAATAGCTTTGCGTTATTTTAGTAAGAACTCTTGAATAGATCGAACAGAAAGAATAGCTTTAAGGTGATTTCGTACCCTACAAAAAATTTCTTCTTATGTTCTCCGCTAGATAAGAACTTTGGAGTGATTCTTCATCACACATTGAGGGATGGTTATATAATCCAATTATATTAGCATCATTGGGAGATTGCACTAGCGAAAGTACAAACCCTAGGCCTCATTTTCAAGCATTGCAATACCATTTATGCTTCATTGTATCAATTTCTACTTTGCTGTTTTTTATTGTTCCTATTATAAATATCAATATCTACTATCATTACTACACTTGTATCACCATCTATTCGCCGAACTAGTGCACATATACAATTTACCATTGTACATGGTGTGTTGGGGACACAAGAGAATTTTCATTATTTGGTTGGAGGGTTGTTTGAGAGAGACCATCTTCATCCCACGCCTCCCACGGATTGGTAAATTTTAGGTCATCTACTTGAGAGAAATTTGCTACTATCCTACAAAACTCTGCGCTTGAAGGTCCAACATGAGTCTACAAGAACAAGTTATGTAGTAGAATCGCCAGACCAGTCACACGTGCCACCACGGCCCAACCGTCGCCACCACCCCGGACGCCGTCGACCAGGCCCGCCTCCACCATGCACCACCATCATGCAAAAAGCGCTGCCACCAGATCCATGCTGCCACACGACATGCTGCCATGACCATGAACATGAGCGTCCCAAGCCCCCCTCCACCTTCCCTAACATCGCGATGGCTTTGAGGATGACCCCTCCGGCGGCAGTGGTGCGAAAATGAGAGGAGGAATACTAGTGGACGGCGGCTATGGTTCCGCAGTGTCGCCAGGTCGGGCCACGCATGGGTAGAGATGAAACGGTTTTCCACTCAGCTGTTGCTGGTTGCGATAGATGTATGTATGCTAATTATTGCTTTTATCATGGTATTGTCTATGTTCTTGTGTTTTTTGGTTGGATCCTTTCAATCTATACTTCTCTTCATCGGCGATGGTTGCCATTTTGGTGTGTTGGTCCTTTGGGGGCTTAGCACGATGACTTCTCGGTTGTCTACTACAATAAGGTTTGCCCGGCCTCGGTGAGGGACGGGCGATGACAGCAGCGCGCCTTCGGCTCACTCCCATGCTTGTAGTCATCGCCTAGGTGGTCTACGAACATGCATGTACTCTTGCAAAAAGAATACAAAGATGCATGTAATTTCTATTATCTTGTGTTCTTTCTACTATCATGATGTTGGAGAGTATATCGGAGTTTTTCTCACGATTTTTTTAAGCATGAACTTGCCTAATTTTCTAACAGGTGTAAGATAAGATTTTCATTCTTTATTTTTTCATTTATATGTGAGAATTTCCAACCCTCGACTAAGTATGTGGAATGTTAGGTTGATGGCGTAGCTTCATCACACTTGGAAGAATCTTAACCACGGCAAAGTGTATGATAAGGCTAGTCTTAATGGGAAGAACTTAGTTTTTTATTTTTTAGAGAAAAGGCATCGACCGAGCCCGAGATGGGGCTCGAGCCTAGCCCGACTTTGAATTAACAAAGCCATCAAGTCGCTAGGATTACACACAGACACCCGTAGGCAACGAGCGAGAAAGAAAATACATAGCGGAAAGATACAAGGGCGCTGGAAAGTAGCAAACTAGGCCTCAGACGCTACAAACAAAGAAGATACATAATGAAGCATGAAGCCGTAGACGTTAAGGTCCTCCTCCGTGGATGGGACACCGGGACAAGAATACGCCGGCTCAAGAGGAGAGAGGCAGACCGGCACAATCGGGAGTGCCATCGCCAAGCTAATATGGACCCCGACACGACACATCCAACCAAATCCATCACCGAAGGAGGCCACAACCTCCTCGCCTGGATCGTAAGGCGCCACACCGTCGCGAGATGAATAAGTTTCCCAAGAAAAATGGCGGATGCCACTGGAAAATGCCACACCAAGTGGGTCAGCGCACCCGAGATGAGCCACCGACGCTTCTCCTCGAGCAGAACACCACCGCTGTCCACACCCAGTAACCAGAAGAGGAAAAGCAGCATCTAGGACGGAGGGTGCCACCGCCACCACCACTCGCACCCCAACATCGTCCACCGACCCCCAAGCTCCCAAAACGGCGCCTTCAAGAAGGATACGACGCCGAGGATGCCGCCGCCACCCAACAAAGTTAGGGCTTTCGTCCGGGAGGATTGAGGGAAGGGGAAGTGGGGGGATCAGACATGTCAGACGCCTCCAAGGAGGAACACGACCCCCTCGGGCGTCGCCGTCGACGCGGCCGGCCATGGCCGGCCAGGGATTTCGCCTGGCCTGGGTTCTCTACCACCAGCACCAACGCCGACGACCCATGGCAGCATAGGTAGAACGAAGGTGGAGAGCACGCCGGGTGGGGGAGGGGAGGAGACGCGAGATCTGACGATGACGAACACCTGGACATGCCACCACACCACACCCACGACCACCGAGATCCCGCCGCCCTCGCGGCCAAGAACGTCGAAACCACCGCCCGCACCACCGCCCGCCGCTAAGCCGATGGCGCCTCACCAGATGGAGCCGCCGCCCCAGATCCGAAGCTTCCCGCGTGAAGCAGGGCAGCAGCTGGCCCCGCCGCCACCTTCCTTGGCGGCGCCCCGGGCTTGCCCGCCGGCTGCCTCGGGTGGCGGCGAGGAAGACGTGGGGAAGGAGGGGCCTACCGGTGGCTAGGGTTGTTGGCCCCCGAGTCGCCCGGGCAGGGGGAGGAAGGAGGGGGGGGGGAGTTTCACCAACTGACAGGTAACCTGGGAGTAACTTAGTTAGTAACATAACACATTCCAATATAGATTTACTTATGTGACAACTAGTTAATGAGGGAGAGGTCTTTGTAGTAACATACGTATTAGAGCATGGTTAATAATACGGGGAGCTGCTAGCTATATGATGTTGCCATGTCAACTATAGGCAAATATATATCCGACAAGTATAATAGTTAGATGTAAATAATTACTACTTCATTAATACATGGCCCATCTCCCTCTCTCACAAAATCTCTAGAAGCATGTGTTACACCCGGCTGTTAGTTTGTAACCCTCTTGTCTTCTCTCTCCTCTTCTCTCTTTTCCAACTCAACATAAATATACTACTTTATGTCTTATAGCCCGTCTATATCACCTTATTGTACTTACTCTTATCAACACATAGGGTTTTTCAAGAAAAAATGAGTCTACAAGCTAATAAATGCAATCATATATGATAGTACTATTTTTATGACACTTTGTACTATGATATGGTACAGTCAGCAGGCTATAAAGATTAAACAATTATATTTAAATTGAGTTGTATGAGATAGAAGAGGAGAGAAGGGAAGCAGAATGTAAATTAATAGCCGACTGCAACACGTGCGAATGTACGGTGGGCCATATATTCATAAAGTGGTACTACTTAGCAACTAGCTAAATTATGCGTAATTTATGAAGGGGGCCTAAAATTTTGGTACAACCTTTGGTGGCTCAAGGGCCCAATAAACCCGGACGGAGGGAGTACTATACATGTTGGCTATTAGGTTGACTATATGTGATATGAGAACTTCATATAGCCGGTTGTTGGCTATGCTATTAACCGAGCTATAAAAGTAATAACATAGACTAGTCTCTCACTATGACTAGCCTAAAGTTATTTTCCTCATTAACTTCACGGTTAGCCTGTGGAACGGACTCCTTGCCCAGCACGTCCTTTTGACCAACAAGTTTTGGCGCATCGGCTTCTTGTTCATCTTCCTCTTTGACCTTGCCCCACAGCACCATGTACAGCCCCGCCACGATCAGCACAGCACCAAGAACACTGCAAAAAGAAAAATGGCAGCGCACGCGCAGACTCCCCGTGAGAAACCCAAACAGACTCCACCATGTTAAAGGCATGCGAGTTACTGAATAGTGTATCACATTCCGATGTGCAGGGCCTCGTTGAGGACGACGGAGCTCATGACCGCGACGAAGACGATGATGAGAGGTCCGAACATGGCGACGTAGAGGGGCCCTTTCTTCTGCAGGCACCATGACATGAGCGGGAAGGCGGACCCGGACGCCACGATACCCTGCACGTACGAATCAAACATCAGAAACGTGGCATGGGCGTGAAGAAAGGACGCAGTGGCCGGCCGATCAGCTGCCTGATTACCGCGAAAGCCGACGCGTAGAGCCTGATGTTGAGCCCGAGCCTCCAGTGGTCGGCGTCTCTGTGGATGCAGAGCGTGAGCAGCGTCGACTGGACCGCGCCGAAGACGCACACCAGAGCAGCGATGGAGTAGTGGCACGGGTAGACCTGGACGACCTTGGCCTGGATCGTGAGCCAGATCGCATAGGTGAAGCAGCCGGCGATGGCGAGGAACGAGCCGAGAATCCGAGAACCCGCGGCCGGCTGCGGGCGGAGCTGGTGATCGCCGCTGGCGTGGCTGAGCCCGGTGTGCGCCAGACGGTGGAGGAACCTCATCTCCGGGCCCTTGTAGAACGTCAGCAGCATCGCGCCGCCCAGCCCGACCAGGGTTCCCGCCAGTTTCGCTTGACCGCTAGGCTTTCTGAGCTTCAAAGTCTCCATCCTGTTTTTCCATTTTCCAAGCGGGGCCTGTGAGTCTGTGACTAGCACCCAGAAAGGAACTGAGATTTTATAGAAATCTGTGATTACTATGACGACCGACCTAGTCAGGATTGCGACGATGAAGGTAGCTTGAGGGGTGAGGTTGCTGAGAGCTGTAACGATGGTCGCCGAATTCGTCAGCTTGAGGGCAAGCACCAACAGGTTCTGGTTCATGGTGACTCTGCATTTGTATTTATATATGTGAACAAACATAGTAAATCAACGTGGTTTTTCTTTTATCGACCAAAGAGTTCAAGTCTAGAGCATTTGCTAGCATGGTCATCAAAGAGAAGAAGTTACCCGAACAGTCCACACAAGAATAACCCTGTCACAACCTTGACGGTTAATGGTGGCCGCTTCTTCCTAGAGATCACACCACAGCCGCATTAGTCAGCAACAAATCTTCTTTAACACATGTAGACTGTGTTCTGGCAGAGTGTATGCTCGTCTCACTATCTTGTGAGACAAATGTTTCACAAATGAGCGAGGATATTAAGAAGGCATGCACCTCTCAATGAGGAAGGCGACGGGGCAGAGGAACGCGGCGCCGAACATGGGCCTGTAGGCGACGAGGACACGGACGTCCATGCCGTCGTCGAGCGCGAGCTTGATGAAGATCTGCATAGCCGAGAAGACGAACTCCACCACCACCATCGCCGCCACCGGCCGAGCGGCCTCCAACACGCTGCCTACCCCAAGGATCCTCATGTCATGCTCCTTACGTGGAGCTCAGTGATGAGCTAACAGCTCAGGAATGAGGATGCCTACGGCCGGTTAATGATCAGCCGGTAGATTTACACAAGTACTACTGGTATATACTGGTATTCGTCGGTTCTGTCCTAGCGATGTTAGCCAAGCACGTTTCATTGTTTTCGAGTGCCTTGGCAGCAGCAGCAAAAACAACAACAACACCCATAAAATCCGCACGTGTACGGACAGAGGAGCGGTGGCAATCTGACATCATAGCACTGGTAATCTTGGCTGCGGTGCTGCCGTTCTGTATGCACGCAGGGGTGGGCCCACATCGGTATTCAGTTGAATACTCATTATTTTTGTCAATAAATTATGTATGCATACTATGTACTGCATGTATTTACGGGAGGCGGCGTTCCGGTCTATAGATGTTTAAGCTGACTTCATTAATTTGAAGATGTGTTGGTTCGGTCTTTTGAATATACTTCTAAGGCTAGGGTATGCGATGAGTGCACCCATAAAGTTATGCATGTATGTATGTATGCATGTAAACATTTACAATATTATTGTGCTTCTTAAAAAACATATCAGCACAAAACTGGGCCTAGCCAACCCCGTGGTCTCTCCTTTACTGCTTGGACATGGCGAGTAACCCAAAGCATCCTCCTCTAGTCCAATTAGAAAATTGTTGCAGCAACCACCATGCGAGAGCAACTAATATGGGTTACGTGTAAAAGGCCTTTTCCCCCCCTCACGTAGGGTTTTCCTTCTCTCGGAGGCGATTTTGCCGCCGTCGAGTTCCTATTAATTCCCTGCCACTGATTATCTCCCCAACGAGCGCTCAGACCAATCAGGGTTCGGCGATCTAGGGCACCATAAAAAAACCCGATCTGCTCCTCGGGTTAGAGAAAACCAATTTGCGACAGACAAGGGGCCGACATCCACGTTGATGGATGAGACGACGCGTCCGATCCATGGGCGGACAAAAGATGGCTGGCAATAGCTAGGGTTAACATGGACAAGGCCTACAACCAATTCTGGTTTTTCAAGAACATGCGGTCAGCTTGGGATCTTGCACAAGATGTCAAATTCCTACAAGTGGAAGAGAACGTGTAGACCCTCCAATTTTTTTGCCTTGGCGACTTGGAGTGGGTGATGCAGGGAGGACCCTGGAACTTCAGAGGTAACATCCTAATCGCTCCATACAATGGCGTTACAAAACCCTCCACAATCCAGCTAAACACCCTTGACATCTGGATCCAATTGCATGATGTTCTCGACCTATATGCACATCTTGTTCCTACGCTGACGTCGAAGGTGGGTGAAATATTGTATGAAGAGACCCCAAACCATGACTTCACAGGTAATTTCTATCATGTCTGCCGTCTGGGTGAGAATTGGTGTAAGGAAGATGCTAAAGAACGTTGTCTCGATGATCTGGGACCTAAAGCGTCAGATCTACAAGGTGAAGTATGAGCGTCTCCCAAACTGTTGTGGAGCATGTGGTCATCTTGGGCACGTCTTCAAGGAACATGGAGACGGGGTTCACCCTCATTCATCTATGAAGGAAATATGCCGTAGAGGCAATAATAAAGTTGTTATTTATATTTCTTTATATCATGATAAATGTTTATTATTCATGCTAGAATTGTATTAACCGGAAACTTAGTACATGTGTGAATACATAGACAAAACATAGTGTCCCTAGTATGCCTCTACTTAACTAGCTCGTTAATCAAAGATGGTTATGTTTCCTGACCATAGACATGTGTTCTCATTTGATGAACGTGATCACATCATTAGAGAATGATGTGATGGACAAGACCCATCCATTAACTTAGCATAATGACCGTAAGTTTTATTGCTATTGCTTTCTTCATGACTTATACATGTTCCTCTGACTATGAGATTATGCAACTCACGAATACTGGAGGAACACCTTGTGTGCTATCAAACGTCACAAGTAACTAGGTGATTATAAAGATGCTCTACAGGTGTCTTTCGAAGGTGTTTGTTGGGTTGGCATAGATCGAGATTAGGATTTGTCACTCCGTGTATCGGAGAGGTATCTTTGGGCCCTCTCGGTAATGCTCATCACTATAAGCCTTGCAAGCAATGTGAATAATGAGTTAGTTACAGGATGAAGCATTACGGAACGAGTAAAGAGACTTTACGGTAACGAGATTGAACTAGGTATGAAGACACCGACGATCGAATCTCGGGCAAGTAACATACCGATGACAAAGGGAATAACGTATGTTGTTGTGCGGTTTGTCCGATAAAGATCTTCGTAGAATATGTAGGAGCCAATATGAGCATCCAGGTTCCCCTATTGGTTATTGATCGGAGTTGTGTCTCGATCGTGTCTACATAGTTCTCGAACCCGTAGGGCCCACATGCTTAACGTTCGATGACGATTTGTATTATAAGTTATGTGATTTGATGACCGAAGTTTGTTCGGAGTCCCGGATGAGATCACAGACATGACGAGGAGTCTCGAAATGGTCGAGAGGTAAAGATTGATACATTGGAAGGTTATATTCGGACACCGGAATGGTTACGGAGTGATTCGGGTATTTTTTAGAGTACCGGGAGGTTACCGGACCCCCTCCCCCCCGGGGAAGTAGTGGGCCTTCATGGGCCTTAGTGGAAAGGGTAGGAGGGCCGCAAGGGTGGCCGCCCCCCATGGAAAGTCCAAATTGGACTAGGGAGGGGGCGGCGCCCCCTCTTTCCTTCTCCCTCTCCTCCTCCTTCCCTCTCCCCCCTCTTGGAAAAGGAAGGGGAGTCCAACTAGGATTGGGAATCCTAGTTGGACTCCCCCTATGGCGCGCCCCTCCTGGCCGCCGGCCTCCCCCTCTCCATCCTTTATATACTTGGCCAGAGGGCACCCCAAAGGACAACAGACAATCTCTTAGCCGTGTTTGGTGCGCCCTTCCACAGTTTAACACCTCGGTCATATCATCGTAGTGCTTAGGCGAAGCCCTGCATCGGTAACTTCATCATCACTGTTGCCATGCCATCGTGCTGATGGAACTCTCCCTCGTCCTCAACTGGATCAAGAGCACGAGGGACGTCATCATGCTGAACGTGTGCTAAACACGGAGGTGCCATACGTTCGGTACTTGGATCGGTTGGATCGTGAAGACGCTCAACTACATCAACCGCGTTACTAAATGCTTCCGCTTTCGGTCTACGAGGGTACATGGACACACTCTCCCGTCTTGTTGCTATGCATCTCCTAGATAGATCTTGCGTGATCGTAGGAATGTTTTTGAATTACTACATTCCCCAACAATCTATGAACTTCAAGGATCTTAGAGCAAGCTCGTTTATGAGCGTAGGTCGTGGCCTGGGTGGAGGCCGAGGCCTTGGATGAAATAATTCAGGAGGTTGTGGAGCCATAGGGAACAGACCAGGTGATGGGCGAGCAGAAATCCCTCCAGGACAAGAAGGCGATGAGTAGAAATAAGTTGATCTAGATGTTATCACGAGTGATGCTGGCCCAAGCAGAAAATGTGGTTTCGAGCTGACCGCACCCGTCGGTATTGCCACTTCATGCAACTGGAAATGCCTAGCCAATTACCCTACCTGCTCTTACCCCAAGCCCATCATCTAAGCAGGACCCAAAGAAGGCGAGGACTACTAGCGATAGAAGAAATGGACTAAAGGGCTCTTCTTTGGAAAAAGATTTGAACGTGAGATTGGCGGCATCCCACGAAGAGGATCATCACGCACAATGAATATCATATGTTGGAATTGTCGCGGTGCGGGTAAACTGCGCCAACTTGTGAGCTTTGTGATATCATGAGGCAATTTACACCGCTCGTACTTTGCATTGTGAAGACCCAAATTTCACAATGATAACAATAGTGAAAAGTTAAACTTTCTAAATTTGCATTTTTTCAACATGATATGGCTTATCTTGGGTATGTTATTACTAAAGATGGTGTTGCTACTGGTCCTTCTAAGAGTGACACTACCAATGCTTGGCCAATTCTTGTATATTTTAAAGAGGTTAGGAGCGATCTTGGTATTATTATGTATTATAGGAAATTTATTAAGCATTATGGTATCATTAGTAAATACCTAATTGATATGTCTCTAATGTATTTTTCTAGACTAACCTATTAATTTGTTGGGAAACGTCGCCTGCAATTTCAAAAAAATTCCTATGCTCATGCAAGATCTATCTAGGAGATGCATAGCAATGAGAGGGGGAGAGTGTGTCCACGTACCCTCGTAGACCGAAAGTGGAAGCATTTTACAGTTCAGTTGATGTAGTCGAACTTCTTCTCGTTCCGACCGATCAAGCACCGAATGTACGACACCTCCGAGTTCTGCACACATTCAGCTCGATGAGGTCCCTTGAACTCTTGATCCAGCAGTATCGAGGAAGTAGATGAGTTCCGTCAGCACGACGGCGTGGTGATGGTGATGGTGAAGTGATCCGTGCAGGGCTTCGCCTAAGCACTACGAGAATATGACCGGAGGCGTAAACTGTGGAGGGGGGCACCACACACGGCTAACAATAGTTGATGTGTGTTTTAGGCGCCCCCTCCCCACATATATAGAGGCGGTAGAGGGAGGGGCACAACCTAGGGGCATGATACGTCTCCAACGTATCTACTTTTCCAAACACTTTTGCCCTTGTTTTGGACTCTAACTTGCATGATTTGAATGGAACTAGCCCGGACAGACGCTATTTTCAGCAGAATTGCCATGGTGTTATTTTTGGGCATAAATAAAAGTTCTCGAAATGACCTGAAACTCCACGGAGTCACCTTTTGGAATTAATAAAAAATATTGGCGAAAGAATCAATGTAAGGGGGCCCACACCCTGTCCACGAGGGTGCAGGGCGCGCCCACCCCCTGGGGCGAGCCCCCTACCTCGTGTGCCCCCTGGAACTCCACCGACCTCAACTCCAACTCCATATATTCACGTTCGGCGAGAAAAAAATCAGAGAGACGAATTCATCATGTTTTACGATATGGAGCCACCGACAAGCCCTAATCTT